AGGGTTTCCGAGGCTGTAAATCTTTACGGGAGCAGAAAGCCTCATCTTTCTCCCGTGGAACAGCTGGTAGTTTCGAACTGCTGACCTTAAGGTTCACAGCCCAACTTGTAGCCTCGCAGATACAGGGCTTCTTCGACATCCTGGTGGATAACTTGTACGCTGAGCTTGTGGTCCTACAATGGATCCGGGAGAACATCACCGAGTGGAGGAGCCACATCATCGTCTCCCGGGATGCGGCAGGCACCAAAAGGGTGATATCCATTGCCGACAGGTTGAATGTGGAGTTCGCTTTGATTCACAAAGAGAGGAAGAAGGCAAATGAGGTGGACTGGATGGTTCTGGTGGGTGACGTGAAGGGCCGTGTGGCCATCCTGGTGAACTACATGGCTGACACCTGTGGCACAGTATACCACGTTGCAGACAAGCTTCTCTCGGCTGGAGCCACCAAAGTCTACGAGATCCTGACCCACGGGATCTTGTTCGGACCAACCATTTCCAGAATAAATAATGCTGTCTATGAGGCCGTGGTCGTCACAAGCACAATTCCGCAAGAGGACAAAATGAAACTCTGTTTCAAGATTCAGGTTATCGATATTTCCATGATACCGGTAGAGGCCATCCGTAGGACACACAATGGTGAATCTGCTTCTTACCTGTTCAGCCATGTTCCCTTATAACTCAGTTGTGACGTGTCCAACAAACCCACTGTGACATTTTTGTCTGTCTGTCTCTGTCCTCCCATCCCCATTAGAACTAACAATGATAGAATAATGAATAGTGACAAACATCAGATCTTTGTATTCTCAGAGATTCCTCCCTCCACCTCCCCCCCTCCCCCATTGAGACCACGCATTTCCAGGTTTGAGGGAAAGGCGGTGGTTATTTGATTTTCAAGTGGGAAAAATGTTTGTGTCGCCTTGACTTGTTCGAGACCACAAAATTTCAAGTATATAATTTCATTGTTGGAACTCATAGTTTATATATTTCCAGGGTTGCCAAAAGTGACTTCTGATTAAAGGTGCTCATGTTAATGTATAATGATATTGCCTATGGGTCTTCTGGCAAAAACCCGTGTAGAAAGATAGTTCGTTTGGAGCAAACCTGGGCAATTTTATAATACTGTAAATTTTTATTTAGCTTAAGAAGGCTGTTGATGCATCCATTAATCTATAGATGTCATGCATAGTCAAGGCCATGGAGTTGAGTGTCTTTCTTTGTTTTTGTTTAAATGACCACTCTTGGAAACCAAGTTGTAACTCACTAATCTGAAATCCTAAAATGTCCTTACACTGTAGATCTGAAACCATTTTGAGACGTAGACGTCATAGAACCCCGCCACCTCTAAGCTCTTGCTGTCGATTATTGAGGTGCCCCTGATGTGCCCTCAACCTCCAATTCTCATACATTTATTAGTCTGATTATTTTTTGGTATAAGTATAAGGCACATTTTTATGAGTGCAACCAAATGTGTATTTAAACGTTATGTCTTTTTTTTTTTTTTAATTTAATCTTTTGCCCTGAGCAATTGTAGAGAACAAGTCTTTCAGCAAGTGATGATTTTAACTAAAACTTTTTATGTGAAAAATGTCTGGAAGAGAGGTCTATGAGAAAGGTACAAAGAAGTTAACTTTTAATTGCTCTTTGAAGAAAATATTAAAAAATGGCTCCAAAGTGCTGCAGAGGAGAAATTCCCTGAGATAGCATTGTCCACACATGACTCTTCCTGCCAAAGGCAAGCATCAGATTTTTTTTTAAAATTGATGAGATGTACATCCAGCTGAATAATTCATTCTCCACCTCCCACCCACAAAAGAAGAGGATTTGCCAGCATAGACAAAGGTAGGAATAAACATCCATCCCTCCCTATAAAACTGAGAAAATTTCTCTGACCAAAATTCTGTACAAGGAAAGTCATATCTATTTTGGTCATTAAGAAACTTGAACAGCAGTGTTGAAGGTTTCAAACTTTACTACAGTGGAGGCTGCATTGAAATTAGAAAACTTCCTTGTGGTTGCAGAAATTAGAGTTCTTCCAATAGTTGTTGGGGAAAATCGATAATAGCTTGGAAAAGTCAGCTATGTAGTAAAAAACATAAGGAATCTATCTCAAAAGACTTGGCTTGAGATGTATGAAGAGCCTAATTTGATGTTACTTTTGTTAACTAAGATACATGTCTGTTATTTGTATTTGTTAGGGTTTCTTTGTGTAGATACATAGAAATGTAGCTGTGAACAACACATATGCTTGATACATATGTGTAGACATGTTGACATGAATGAAAGCAAGTTGATTTTTAAATAATTATTTTGTCTGAGATCATGATCTGTAGATTAAAAACTGGGTATAAAAATCTGCATCACTATTTTCTGAGTTACTAAATGATTTCTTCTCTCATAGTATAAACCTACCTTCCTTTTTATTTTAAATACATTTAAGAGTGAATTCGACTAATGGAAATGTGGATACTCAGTTTTTGATGGATCACAACAAAGAACCCTGTTGTGGCACTGTACGACAAGCACTGGACTGCTTATATAAAATGAGTAAATTACTTCAGTAAACAAAATTGCATCTATTAAAGAGTTATCAATGATTCCTACTGAGTTTTGATCCTCTGAATAAATATTATCCTCTAATTTTTCTATCAACGTTTAGTGTAAGTTCTTTCTTTAGGTATAGGTTTTCCTCTAATGCAATACATTATAATTATTTCATTAAAAGCCTTTGATATCCTCCAAATTTTAAATATTTTAAAACTAGGGGTGGTGAGAAGCAGGGCTTGATGGCGGGTAGTGTAGAGGTGCAGTGAAGTTTCCGTCAGCAATACCTCAGAATACCAGAAGAAGCGGGTTCAGGGTAGAGCTCCAAAACTCTGAATCACACAGGTTGTTGCTGTTATGTTCCGTGGAGTCTGTTCCGACTCATAGCGACCCTGTACAAGGTTTCCGAGGCTAAAAATCTTTACAGGAGCAGAAAGCCTCATCTTTCTCCTGCAGAATAGCTGGTAGTTTCAAACTGCTGACCCTGAGGCTCACAGCACGATTGGTAACCACGATGCTACCAGAGCTCCTTGAACCACATAGGTAGGAATATTTTAAAAAGTGTGCTGGCTTATTTATAGCTAGTGGAACTTGTAGCAGAATTAAGAAATCCCATACTTTAGAATCTGCTGGGCTCAGCGGCCCAGAGCTGGCAACTTGGGCGAGACCAAACGATAGATAGGACCAGGCAGGGAAGCAAGCAGACCCAGTGAGAATTAATGACCATGGGAACCTTGGAGCAAAGGTGACAATACTATCTATTTGGTTTTGCTTTGTTCTGATATA